TGATGTGGGTATGTACAGTTTGCATGAGTGATGAATATATTATATCTGCATAGCTCTGACCCTACCACACTACACAAACAAGCACACATTGAGGACGGAAAGAAAAGAATGAGAGGAAGACATTACTTTCTTAGCAAGACATTCCTACACTCAAATAGCAGCTGACTAAATCATCCTCATGTGGAGAGCAGCAGCAGCAGCAGCAGCAGCAGCAGCAAATGACTGTCTAACTCTGGCACTGAATTACTAACTTAAACTATGCAAAAGATGCAGCGCATTGGGCATTACAGTAATGTATGTTGAAGTCTTGATTCCTAAGTACTGTAGGATCCTGCAAGACATTAATAAGAGTGCGTTACACATTGCTTGTCTATGTCTCCATGATCTCTGGACTGGTTCAAGGCCTTGTTAGAACAGATAAAAGGGGAGCTGCATCGAGAGTTACCATTTGTGATCTGCAGTGAAAGCAAAGTTTCTTAATTGCTGACTTTGTTGTGCCAAATCAGAAGGAGAGGCTTGCCCACTTGTCCAATAGTGTTATTTTATCTAAATACATCAAACCTGTTGCCATCGAGTTGGTTCCAATTCATATCAAGAACGTGGTAATTCAGGTCAGTGTAAGCAGAACAATGAGATGGATTGATACAGTGGCTGCCTACAATGGCCTCAAACAGCAATGATTGTGAGGATGGCACAGGACTGGGCAGCATTTTGTTGTGGCATACATAGGGTCGCTGTGAGTCGGAGCCAATTTGACAGCACCTAACAACAACCAGAACAAAAGAATCTAGGCCCTTGCTTCTAAACAAAGGTTGGAGTCGCTGGCCTAGAGTTGCCTTCAGAGGAATATTTTATGGTAAAAAGGCTCATCTTCAAACATTGGCTGTATTTCTGGTTTTAATTACTTACAAAAGTAAAAAGTTAACTGAAAACAAGCATCCTTCAGGAATGATATTGGATCAGTGGGTTTTTTCCCCTCATACATCAGACATAAAGGAATGGTACACTAAAAGTGAACGTGGCAATCTAAGTAACAAGCTTCAATGAGCAAGCACCAGCACAGGGGGCACATGGGGACGTGGCAGCCCGGAACTTAGGCAAGAACTAAGGATAGCGGGCTCGTGGCTCCACCTGAGCCATTTCATCCGAAAGACACGGTGCCTTCAAGCGCCTAATGGCACAATGGTAATTTTTTTTTTTTTTTTTTTTGAGGGGAAGGGGCGGGGGGTAAGTTGTGTATCTCTGTGTTATAAACCAGTATTGGCCTGGGGACATTGTTCAAGGGCACTACAGCGGACTTTCCTACAAATGACCTTCCGAAAGAAGAGCAACTGGACGGAAGACGTAGGATCCCCTGTGAGAGACTGCTGGTTCTGAGAGGAAGCCAAGAGTTTGACTGGATTCTTTTAGGGTAGAGATGCTTTCTATAAGGGCATATGTTTTGAGCCCTTCTCGTTCTTATAAAGATAAAATAAAGGTGAAGAAGTTCAAATGGAGATATTTAGAAGCTCAAGACGCATTTCTCTGTGTACCAAATTCCTATGTAAGTGTTAAAGAGGCTGCCCAGTTGTGCTGTTTCCCCTATTTCCTCTCCCATAAGTCTGAGTTCAGATTAGTGAATGTAAGTATAGGCTTCATGATAAATTCTTTGTGAGTGTGAAATATTCTTCGCTGCCATTTTGAAATTTTGTGGATTGTGTGTGTCTGTGTGTATACGGGGGGTCGGGGAGGGAGAATAAAGGATATGCTTGTCAAGCTTCTTTAAAACTAAGTTTTGGTCAGGCACACGAAGAACAGATTGATTTTTGTTTGTTTTTAACGCATAGCTCGTTTAGCAAAATCTCTTTTGCAGTAAGGACTGCTTTAGTGCCTGGAAAACACTAGAGTTTCTGAAAAAGTGAATATATGCCTGAAGGTAGTGTTCTTATAGCTAGAACTCAACATGCTTGGGTTTTAAGGTACCCAGGACAATGGACAAAAGTCACAGAAGTACACCCAAGAGTGTTTAAATTTCCACCAACTCTTCTTTCGAACCATTCAATCCTTTGTTGCAACATTCTACTGAAATAATACTGAGATTATAAGCCTGTCATCAATGGCCTAAATCACTGGTTTCTAAACTGAACCCTAGGGTTCCATGAGCATGTGGGCTTCCTGAAGGAAACAGAGCCCCACTGTGTCAGTTGCATCTCCACCATCACTATTCTTTTGACATCATGCCAGCAGAAGGGGACACGATAACAACGGGCCAGCCACAGCCACAGCCCAACCTTCGGAAGACCTATTCATCTAAACCATCTTTTCCCTGTGCCTAAGGGAAACTGACTGCTAATTCAATTTATGACATTGGCTTTTAAACTAATTTACGACAGGCCCAGCCTAAAAGATCTTTCAGATTCACGGTTTGGTAAGTACATCTCCTTAGATAACTACTTAAAGGGCAATTCTCTAGGGATGCTCAGTAGGAGGAACCTCTGTCTGAAGGGAAAATTAAAGTCATTTCAGTTACATAATTGTTTTGCAATACTCTAGACATCTGTAAAACATTCATATACTTGCAAAGTTATTAACGAATTCAAAAGTTTAGCTCATTTTTGTAACAGATAGAAAAGTAAAGATTGTAAAACCGTTTTGAGCTACAGCTATAGGGTGCATTCACCCACTTTACCAAAACTGCAGGCAAAGTTTGGAATCATGAAATCATTAGCTAATTTCCTCACCTTTGCATCTGAAGGGACACCTGACCAATAATCCAACTCAGGTTTCCACCAGTAAGCTCCCAACCTAGACAAATGTTTCCTAATTTCAACTGCCAGAACTAGGCTAGGCTGCATGTTGAGATAATTCTCAACCTCCTTCAAGTAGAGGCAACCAGCGGCCAGTTTAGGAGGTCTCAGGGTCAGTAGAAAAGGTTGTTCCTGGGCCCAAGTCCAGGCTCCAGGGCTCTGCCTGTAGAGCTGCTCTCCTCCCTGACCAGAAGTTCATGTGATCTGCTGCAGCAAGACGGAGTGCAGTCTTAGAATTCCCATTGAGGCCCTCAAAGCCTCACACTTGCAAACGGAGCTTTGGGCCTAAGCTGACAACTACTGCCCATCTTTTTTCTCTCTCCATCTAAGAGTCCTACTAGTTCTGTGGATGTTAGTGTGTGGGATGGCTGAATCTAATGGAGACTCCAATCCTCAAAACAAAACACAGACAGCGACCTACCCACCAAGAGAAGCAGCAGAACCGAGCAGACTGGGATCAGGACAGGACTTCCAGTTCAAAACAAGTTCTCCAGTCTGTGCCCCGAGGCCTACACATAGACATGGACACACCCATCCTGATGTGGCATTAAAACTGCACAGTTCAAAGCCTCATCACTGTCTCAGTACGTGCAGAGTCGGAATCCACCCTCCAAACAGCATGCAGCCACCGCAGTCACACGCTTCTCTGCAGGCGGCACTTGCTGGGCTCACCAGCTGTGCCTTCATGAAAGCCAGGTGCTGAAGTCCATTGTGAGAATGCGTGTGTGTGAACAGCCAGAATATTAAAACTAAGACTAGCATGATTTAAAATTAGTGTCCTAATTGCATTTTAAATGCATGTTGTGCTTTTAATCCTGTACTCTCGAAGTCACTACAACTGTCGTTCCACTGTTTTGTAGCTGACTGTCCAGTTCTTGCCCCCACTGCAGAAACCGCCCAGGGAAGGGCTAGGTCAGCTTCAGTAGGAATGGGGTGGGTTGGGAGCATTGCACCCGGTGAGAGTGAGAATGCAATAGCTTCTTATCATGATTGGCACTGTGGTGTTCTTTTGTCAGTTCCAGGGTCTTTCTAAACTTCCAGAGCTCTGTGCCAGCCCCACCCACGTTAGTATCTGCTCAGGGCAGTGCAGGCCAAGCGCAGGCCAAGCTCCTCCTGCTAACCTCACCGTCGTTCCAGTACTGCCCTTCAATACTTAGGGAAAAAGAGAGACAACAGGCATATACTGAGAAGTCACATAGTTGAATAGTATTAAATAGCATTAAGTAAAGAATGTATCTAAACATATTTCATGCTATAGTGGGAAAAATTCTAAATTACTGAAGAAACTGTATTGTTAGAGAGTGAGGAGCATCACTGTATGATACTGATACATAAATTGTATGTGTTGGATTTATTTTTAATCAAATATGCAACCTATGGCTAGCAGAGTAACTCAAATAACAAGTTGGAAATGCTAGAATCTAGTATTCCCTATCTTCCAACCAAGAGTCTCCAAATGCTTCAATGATACACTACTATTTAGTGCAATTATTGCAACAATAGTGACTTTCTTGATTTACGTTCAGTTAGTATATATTAGGCTATATACTCCCCCAATATCTTTTCTCGCAAGACGACAGGGAATACTCCAGAGTATTCCTTGAGCCTAATAGTACTCCACAGGTGAGGAGACACAACTTCACATACGAGTTCCCTCATATATATATTTTAAACACTAAGATAGTGCAACTTTTAAAAACACATCATCACAACACAAATTTAACTCCTTGCATTCATCTATGTCTCCACTTTATACCTCGGCACACGAAACAGCAATTTTGATTCATATTTTTAAAACAAAAGTTCCACACTCTGGGAGAAAAAGCAAACTGGCCAGTTCTTCCCATGATAATATATGTAACACTTCCTTCTTCATTCAGTTGATTATAAAACACGCCATCCTGGACTCATTCTCTGCAAAGTCTTCTTTCAGAATTAAATAAATCAAATAGCTCTGTGGATTTTATCTCATGATACTTTAAAAGTATCCCTTCTCTGTTTTACCCATGCCTATCCTTTACCAACCTCCCTCCCCGGCCCCAAATAAACACTGTTCCTCAGACCGAATGGAAGTTAGTATTACTCATTTCGTTTTGCCTGCAATTCCTCTGGAAGGAATCGGAAGCGGAGCGCGCGCTGGCACGTTTGGTTTCACCCAGTGGCCGCTTTGGGACAACAGTGCGCGCGGGCCGGCGGAGCCGGAGCCCAGGGCGGTCAGGCGAGGCCCACGGGCTTCCCGTCAGCGCCCGGGGCTCGCAGTAGCGTGGCGCCTAGGCCGCGGCCCACCACCTCGCTGTAGGCCGGGGGCGGCCCGTCGGCGCGCCCGTCGCCGCCGCAGCCCGCCGCGCTGACCCCCGAGTGGCAGCTAGGCGGGCACGGGCCTCCGCGGAACGGGGCGCCGGCCGCCAGGTCGCTGTCGAAGACGGTCCGGTTTGGCGGCGCGCGCACCGACTCGCGGTTGAGCTCTCGCTGCTGCTCCGGGTCGCGCAGCTGCAGCGCGCACGGGCCCTGGTAGGGCGGCGGCTCTTCGCCATCAGAGAGCGAGATGGTGGGCGGCAAGTCGATCTCGTGCTGCAGGTACGGGAAGGTGGGCTGGAAGCGGCCGAAGCGCTCCGGTTGCATGAAGGCCGGCGCGCCGAAGCGGTCCCGGGTCCGCGGCACATACAGGATCTGGAAGGAGAGGGTGAGAGGCGTGAGGGCGGCCTGCGGACTGCCGGTCACTCTGTGCCGGCTCCCCTCGGACAGCGAGGACAAGCCTGTTCCAGCAGACACCTCATTCTCCTGTTGCTCACTCCTGTCACCGCTCACCTGGCCAGATCACAGTTATCAGGGCAGTTGACAGTGAAGAATTGTAGCTGACTGAAAATGTGGGTTTAATGGGAGTTATGGTGTATGCTATGCATACGTTTTCCAAGGGTTCAGACAGAGTGCTGTGTTAAAGACCTTATTAAACAGAGTCGTACAGCGCCAACAGTATTGTACAGGCGGTGATCTGACCCACTCGCCAACCCCAGCCTCTACTTCTAAAATCCAGAACAAGTCACTTTGTTTTCTTTCTGGTTCCTAGACTTTTCCAGTTATTTGGATAAAAGTTTCATGTAGTTTTTTATCACTGACATGAAAAGTGCTTTGTATTCCTAAGTAAATACAACTATAAATTTTTTTCTCCAAAAATGATTCCAGGTTTCTTACAAATTCCTTTCTTACAAATTCCTTTCATCTCTTCCACCATCCAAGCTTCTTCTAGAAGAAAGATCTTTTGTATATGTATTAAAATAGTCACTGACTTCTATCATATTTTTAACTTAAAGGGAAAAATATATTTTAGAATTCATAGTATTAAACTTGGAGATACGAAAATTAATCATGCTATGATATTTATGGAGCCCTGGTGGCACAGTGGTTAAGAGCTATGATTGCTAACCAAAAAGCTGGCAGTTTGAATCCACCAGCCACTCCTTGCAAACCCTCTGGGGCAGTTCTACTCTGTCCTGTAGGGTTGCTATGAACTGGAATCCACTCGACAGCAAACAGTTTATGATATTTATAAACCATACTAACACCTGCCAAACCAAATTATGAGTAGCTTATGAGATTGTGTATTGATCAGTGATCCTCAAGCTGTTTTCTGTAAGGAGCTTTAGTACAAAAAATCCTTAGAAAATTCTAGGAACATACCTCCCCTCCCCCTTTACCCTAAGTTATAGGCATTTGCCTTAACTTAAATGTATTATTTCTTAATCTGTGCTGTAACACATTTAAGCCTCCTACCAATTTTGTGCAAATGATTTTTCTCCTCCTTGGAGTCCCCGCTATAGCCTCCTGCCCCCTGCAGCCTCACACATGGGTTCTGTAGCCCTAGCACTGCCCACACTGCAGGCTGAGAACCCCGCCGGCTCAGTCACCCTTGTCCAAGCCCCTCACCTCTGAGGCACCCTGCCGGGACACGGAGCTATCCGAAGGCCACAGGCACCCTTCCTGCAGTGGTGAAGAGAAGGGGGTGCAAGGGGAAAGAAACATCAGAAGAAAAGAATTAGTTTCATAAATAGCAGCACCCAGAAACATTAACCACAACTTTTTGGGGCAAGGGATCCCATTATTCTAGCTAAAAACATGGAGTGAGAAAGATCGAGTCCTTTTTACACCTGATATCTAGATGCAGGGTTGCGACCAAAAGGGAAACATTAGAAAGTTTAGACACCAGCCATAATATATTTGAAACAGATAAGAAGTCAAACATCTTTCAGTCTATACACTTTTGTGTTAGAAATACATTCAAAATAATCATTTTGACATACAAACCATCTTCAGTCACTACATAGATAATTTCTGGGTTAATGAAGCACTTATGTGCACATCAATCACCTCTGCCAGATGCCTACTCCTTTCTGGAGGACCTTCAGGGCCCTTCTGGATTTCGACTACTAGCTCAGCTGAGTTACGCAGAGCAAGAAGAAAGGCTCCGCCCGGCCAGACTGGTTGTCTTTCCATTTTAAAATTGCATCCCCAAAGCCTGAACACCCTTTGAGTGTCTTCTAATGAATTTATTCTTTACTCTTTATATTCACAAGGCAGGGATAACTTGACATCTGGTTGCTTAGTATCTTTTTTCAAATATATGGCCAGACTGACAAGGTGACAAGCAAACAGTGGGCATTATTAAGGGCCATTTCTAATACCATAAACCTGTTTTCAAAGCATTTCAATGTATTATCCCTTTTGAACCCAAATTGTTGATGATTAACAAGGGTCTTTTGGGCTATTAGCTAAAAATCTGTTACTGTAATAAATAGAATATAAACTTTTTTTTTTTTTTTGGAGGAGGGGCACCAGATGCCTGTATTTTGTATTCCCAGTAAGATGTACTATGACCTGGGGCAGTCAACCTCCCGAGAGTCAGAAAATGCCCAGAAGTAGAGACCTAGGCAGTAAAACATCCTTACTCTTTAGATACAAAGTGAAGTCTTCTCCTATTCTTTTGTTTGGGGGCCCCTCTGACGGCATCTTAGACCCAGCATTCTAATATAAAAATCCCCATCGCTGCTAAACAAGGCGTTTGTCCAATACATACAGCCTATTCCTAAAATATTGAGAGTGCATCGTGAAATCAGTAGCAAAAATATAAACAGACACAGCTGTGTTTAGAGGAAGTCTGGGCTTAAGGGTCTGACTATAAAAATATGCAATAGAATATTACAGCTCTGGAATGGCGACAGTTAACCAAAGTGGGGATTACAGAGTGACACACCCAGACTCACAACGGGATCCACACAAAGAGCAGGAGAGGACTTTGTATCTAAAGAGTAAGGATGTTTTACTGCCTAGGTCTACCGCTCTTTGCTACGTGCAGTGAAGTCTGTAGGGACGCTGCATATTTTCTGCTGGATCAGAGCAGAAAAAAATCACTATAGTTCTGGACTGTTGTACCTGCTCTCACATTGAAAACATTATGAAAAACGCATTCTTGGGTGTTCTAAGATGCATAATCTTGCCTTGCTTCTCTCCCTGTCTTTTCAGTGGACGCCTGGTGCCATCCCGCCCTCTGGACACAGCTGCATGTCCTACTCCTTGCTTCCATCAGTGGGGAGTGCTCTAACATCCTCGCTCTAACCTCCACTCCTGAGAGTCTGCGCCAGTCAATAGTTAAAGTAACAGATTAAAACGCGTCGCGCAATGCTAAATGGCCAGAAATCGCACCTGAAGTGAGCTGGGAGTGAAGCGGCCCAGAATTTGGGGGACAGACATCTTCTGAAAATGGCAATAACCACCCCAATGGCTTTATTTCCCTAAAAATTAGTAAAACTGGAAAAAATGCCCAAAAGAGATCCACATGGAGCCTTGTGAATACTCAGTCTTCTATTTCACCAAATTCATGCCAGCCTCCTTGCTGTTAAGCCTTCTCAACACTTTCTGGTCCTCATCTTAGCTTGGTAGCATCCGGCCACTCTGCCTCTGGTTCCAGCAACAGCACTCTCTTGGTTTGCTCCTAACTTCTCTGGCCACCCCTCCTGCTTCTTGGTGGATGCCTCATCCTCTATGTTTTGGTTAAATATTGACTTCCTCAGAGTCCTGTCCCCAGCTCCTCTTCTCTCACTGCATGTTCTCCCTGGCCACCTCAGTCCCTCCAAGGCGTAAACGGCTGCCTTATGGTATGGTGCCCTTGGTCTGTCTCCAGCCCAGCCATCTCCATGAGCTCACCCCACACATCCTGCTGTCCACTCTATGCCTCTGCTTGGGTTCCTCTAGATTCCTAAAACTCAGCATGTCTGAAGTATAGTTCAGCAGCAGCTTCTCCCCAAGTCTCCAGTTCCTTGTACTGTAGTACCATCTTTCTTGCCCAGCCCCTCCAGCCAGTCAGCGCTCCACTCTCCCTTACCCACCTCCTCTCAGTCCTGCCCTTTCCACCTCCAGAGCAGCTCTCCACTCCCTACCCCTCGCAGCAGCCTCATTCGGCTCCATTCTTGCTCCCTTCTGTGTCTCTCCACCAGCAGCCAAGGCAGTCTTCCTGCAGGGCAAACCTGCACTTGTCACTCCCCTGACTAGAATCCTTTGTGGTTCTTCTGGGAAAAGTCAGACTCCTTGACCCAGTCCACCAGAGTCATCCCCCTCAGGCCTTCCCTCCCCACTCTCCACCCCCCT